CCCCCCCCGGTCACTTTTGGGTTTTACCGTTATCTATTTTTATTGCACTCCTGATTATTGAGTTCGAACTTCCTGATCGCCAAAATTATCGTGTCTTTGGAGGCGGTCGGGTTGTTGCTCTCCAACGGTATATGTTGTGAAGATATTTCTGTTGTCAACAAAACGGAACTCAGCAAAATCGGAAATCGGAAGCGTAAGTGGTCTCGGCAAAGTCAAAAAGGTTGGGCGCCAGGTACCCACGAAGGAGTACCACGAGTTCGAGGCTCGTTATCGATATAGTCAGAGTTGCGAAAGATAACTAGTTAGGGGTAACCGATTGCCACCAGGCAAACTAAACCTAATTTTGCCACCAGGCGAACTAAACCTAAGGTCCACACGGCCAACGCAACAGATAGGGGCACCACGGCCAAGAAAAAGTGTTAAATGTAACTCTACCTAAAGGTTACCCCGAACTCGAAAGAATTGGTAGGAATCAGACCACTCTACGACCGACAGTACGCCGCTTCAGAGGCTAGCTCGTCGGAAGCGTCGCAGCGTTCGAGAGGTACGGAAGGAGGGAATCCAGCCAACGACGTAGGGGAAAACGATAAGACATACTACAATAAAAATAATGCAAAGTAATTTGTTAACGCACCGGAGCTGTATTAATCAAAACAAAATTCAAATAATCGATCAACTCGGTAGAGAAGATTACAAAAGCAATAAGTCAGGCATTAATGAAGGTGCGAGCGAAAGCCAAGCATAGGTTTACCAAAAATCTTAAACTTAATTCACAATAATCGGTATAAAAGAAAGAAAAGATACAATACAAAAGAAAGTTAGAATAAGATAATTTCATATCGGAATCTAGAGGCGGATCCTATTTATCGGAATATCGCGAGAGCGAAAGAAGTTGAACGTCAGCATTCGCGTGAGTACGATGCGGACTCGATACTTCATAAAAACAATGTTCACGGAAAATATTACGGTCGGAACAATCTCACTAATCAGAAGAACCTCACCAAAATCGGAATAAACAAACAAACTCGTTTTGGAAATAAATGGATAAAATAGCAATAATTTAACGTCGGAACGCAAGGAACGGCAAAGGAACGGAAACGGAACGACTGCACGGTTTTAATTCCCGCACGCGTGAAATTATAACTGCGATCGACAAAAGTAAAACGAAAGAGTCAATCAAAAGAAATTATAAATTTGCGAAAATTTCAAAGTAATTTACAGTTTCAAAAGAATAGTAGTATTATGGTAAACAATATTTTATAATAATGGAAATATTATAAATAGGCAGCGACAGAATCTGGCTGTGGAACAACCAAGACGCTCAACCCGGAGTCAAATGCTCTGGCAGGCAGATTCCGGCGCGTACACTAGGCGAAGATTCCAAAAAATTCGTTAATTACAAAAAGAATAGAAATCACAAATCATATAAGAAAAGCGCAAGATCGGAAATCTCAAGAATACAAAATGATAACGGCACTATCGTTCTTTATACTATAATAGGTGGAAAGACATTGGCCTGATAACGGCGAAGGAAACTAGTCACCGAGTAAACGGACGGTTTAACCGTGCACATGTCTATAATCTCCAATAAGAAAAGCAGAAAATATTAAGAAAAGCGAAAGATCTCACCACAGAAAAGAAAAGGAAATAGTAAATCTCAATAGAGTCAGCCCTCAAAGGCAGCAAAAAGCAGCAAAATAGGCAATAGTATCTCTCTCTCTTTCTCTTTCTCTTAAAATTCTTAGCACGTGAGCTCACGACCAGGTTTCACACAACAATGTTTCATCGTTCGATGATCGTCGGCAAGCGGGTCCAGGTGAGGTGGGACGGCACCGGAACGGGACGAGCATTCACGAAGATGGCCGAGGTCTCCCGAGCGTCGATGCGCAGCAGTGGATTCGGCCGAGTGGAGACGAGTGGCGATCCTGTGTTGCACGGCCCTCGAAACATTGGGCCTCGTGGGTCGAGGATGTTCAGGCGACTTTTCGGCCGGACGGAGGCACTATCATGGGTGATCGGCAGGATTTAGGCGGGCTGGGGAAGGAAGCCTTATCACCCTTCCGGCCGCATCGGCGACGGATAGGTCCACAGGACAGTCCTCGCCGGCCGACGGAAGAGGCGGAGTCCCCTCCCAGGTGCTCCAGGGCTTCTTTGGCTTGACGGCGGTAACAGAATCCCGGCGACAACCAGGTTGACGGAACCGGCAGGCATCACGTCACAACGCATATCTCCGTTTTTCTGTCGTACTAATAAAATTGGACTTGCACATACGAGGAGCACGAGCGAGCACTAGTTCGCTGACGCGCTACCAGGTGGCCACTGCAACTCCCAAGCAGAATGGTAAGACCATGAGAATAATTAGCCATTCCCGACACTTCTAAGACACCGATTTTTACAGAGCTGACAGATACCGAATAGATACTTGAATCGTCATAAATGAGAAAAGTTAACCCAAAAGAACGTTTTATTATTACTTTAACACAACTATCCCTTTACCCTTCCGAACCCTGGTTCACTCTAAACCTAAGTGGCCCAAATTGTCATATGAGAGAATTGGTACTTCACCAGTCTTGACAGTTGTAAATAGTATACGTTACACTCCTCCGCGTTGAGCTCTCGTGAAAACTCACGTTTCTCACACATTTCCCCTCGTGAAACCGTTTGCCACTTTTTAACTTTTATGTTTATATGCAAAGGAGCTGACAGATACCGAATAGATACTTGAATCGTCATAAATGAGAAAAGTTAACCCAAAAGAACGTTTTATTATTACTTTAACACAACTATCCCTTTACCCTTCCGAACCCTGGTTCACTCTAAACCTAAGTGGCCCAAATTGTCATATGAGAGAATTGGTACTTCACCAGTCTTGACAGTTGTAAATAGTATACGTTACACTCCTCCGCGTTGAGCTCTCGTGAAAACTCACGTTTCTCACACATTTCCCCTCGTGAAACCGTTTGCCACTTTTTAACTTTTATGTTTATATGCAAAGTATTGTTACCTACTCCCCTTACCTCACGTTGTGCACTGGTATCACCTTTAGTGCACCGTAGTAAATCCCTATGTTTCACCACGTGATAGACGTAGGATTTTTGTTGATGAGCTCGTGCTCTGGGCGGACGAATAGGATTTTTTTCTGGGTGTGTGATTCAACTAATCCGTTTATATTCTTTTTAACTTCTTTCTTGTTTATTAAAAAGACACGGTATATCTGATTACAATTAATTATTTACGGTTCCCTGAGTCAAGCTCGAGTGTCCGTCCTACTTCTTTTTATCTTTTATCCTTATCTCTCGTGGAAGAGTGGATCAAGGATTTATTAAAGCGATCCTATAGCTTGCCGCGCTATGTGGTTTACCAAGAATCGTTTCAATAGGTATTTGGGATGATCCTTGTGGGCCTATGGCTAAGCTAGCGTAGTACTATCCGCCAATGTCACACAGTCACCTGGTATTTGGATGAGATATGGTTCACAATGCTATATTGGTCACCAATCACACTTTTTTTAAGGAAGAGATTTAGTATAGCGGGGTAACGCAATGTTATCCGCTAATGGCGTCTCGTGATTCAGTGGTTCTTGGGATTAGGAAACCTTGTACAGCTGTCGGTGGTGCTATTCACCCGCTGACGAGGTATCTGTTGGTAAATTGGTATAGGAGACTTGAGAGGCAAGGTGGTCGGGTTGTTTTTCCAATGCCCGTTACCCTTTTTATTCCTCTCGTCCCCGCCTTAGCTGGTAAGTATCGTTTGGAGGCGCTATGACTCCAACGAACCCGTCCAGACTATTCAGGGAGGATTAGAACTCCTTTACTTAATTACTTTCAAATCCTGAACTTTTCTGTCTCGAGCTTCACCGTAGGAGGTGTAATGATCGAATGAATCCTTTATCGCCATTTCGCTCAGCTTTTATACTCGCAGAGCGTACGTTAATGCCGACTTTAAATGTTTTCTATTGTTGCGTTGCCCCATCTATGAGACTCGCTTATACTATCTACTCCGGGTGATTTAAAATATCTTCCCGCGTGAAGTTTAAAGGGACCCGCAATGTTTTGGTCTTGGGTTTGTTTTCCCTCAGAATGCCTTTGGCTCAATCGCACTCGGCGGATTCCATCATAGGGTGTTATCTAATCAAAACAAAGACATTGCGTTCGGGCCTATAATGAAATAAAATAAAAATACGCTCTGTTGCGTTACAGTATGTTTAACTATTCTTTTATTAATGGAACAAAATACTGCAGCTGTAACGCTGAATGAGGAAGATACACTAATCGTAATGGAAATTGGTTGTGGATGCATAGTACAATAAGGAACAGGTAATACTAATAAATATTATTCAATTTCTTATTTATTAATTATTATTACAGAAATGTCCATGAAAAATCAATCAATTTTCACGTTCATTAAATACATATCCTCTACAGGAG